AAAAACCTCCCGAATTCTTTTGTTTTCCGCCATGAAAAGGCAGCTCCCTTCTTAGCCCAGGTACTCTCTCTCTCTCTCTCTCTCTCGCTCTTTCTCTGTTTTCTATACATATATGTATGTGTATATGTATTTGTTTGTATAAACGACGACACGTTTATCTCTCTTTGTTTAACTGTATATATATGTTCACGTTTTGTTTATTTTCCAATCTGTAAGTTGCTAATCGGTGGATAACAATGAAGAACCACTTTATCAGGTTTACTGTTTCACTTCATCTCCTGCGTTTTGTTTGGCGTAATATAAATTCATCAATCTTCTTCTTCTTCGAAGAGGTATAGTAAATTTCTTTTTGTCTATTATTATTCTTTGCTTTTTATTTCTTTCGTTTATTATTATGCTACGGGATTCATTGTGTTCTTCGTGTGTTTTCGCGGCTTCTTGCTGAGTGGAGAAGACGAATTTTCTGGGATCATATTGGAATTCTCACTGTGAAGCGAACGGTTTTCTTGTTATATGTTTTTGGTTCTTCGTACTGATTGATTCTTGTTTTTCTCTTTTGTCGTTTTTATTTTCCTGTTCTCTATGTGTTTTTTTTTTTTAATTTTTACTACTGTTTTGCAGGTTTTAATGTTGCTTCGTTTTTGCCTGGTTGGTTTGAGATAAATGTACTTAATTGGTACTTATATTTATTACATATTTCGGATCCTTCGTTGCTGGTTTCGGGTTCCAATGGATCTGTGTCAGTAACATGCTATCTCTTTATATGTGTTGCGTGTTTAGTTTAAATATGCTCGAAGCTATTGGTTTTCTGATCTTATTCAAATTATATATCTATTTTTTTTAGTTTAAGTATCTTTTAAATTCGTGGGTGAGTTCTTTTTCTAGTACTGTTTGATCCCGTGATATATATTCTTTTTTGATATCAGTATATAATCTGTTACTTTCCGGTGGGGAGGAGTTTTGGTCTTATTTGTGTTATTATGATGAACTAAAATTACATACACTCGAATAATTTGCTTTTTGCTGATCTTCTCTGCTGATTTTTGGTATTGTAAAAATTCTTTTTTTTTTTTTCCTTTTAAGTTGGTCCTTATTAGAGTTGTTGCTTTTTTTGTATTTCAATGTGTCTATTGGAGTTAAACACTTCAGCTAGTGCATTTAAGATGTATATGCAGTTTCTGGATATAGCTTCATTATGTTTATGTCATTATGAGCAACTATTTTCCTGCCTTTTTTTCTTTTTGGCTTTATGTTAGTTTTGGAACCTTTTCTAGATGAAGTTTAAGGATCAAAATCTACTGAAAGTTTCTAATTGCACTTGCAATCTTATTGGTTTTGGTGAATGATCCTACTGCCAGAGTTTGTAGTCTGTCTAATTATTTTAATTGAAAATCTCACAATGCATTGATGTTAACTGTTTGATTCAGAAACAAAAATCACTGTTTCTGCAAATTCGATGCTTCTTTATTAGTGTTCTTTTTTTTTCTTGGATCAAGTTTATTTTGTCTTCTAGAATCCTACTATAGATGAATCATTAAGCAAACAAATGGGAAATCTATGTTCTCCTATCTTGTCTTTTATGAAGCCCCAATCTTGCTTTCTGCATGGGCAATTTAAAGTACTTTTTTTTTTTCATTTTATATCATACTAGAGGCAATAACTTTCTTTTGCTTGTCTGATTTCTTTTGTAGATGGATGTAGTTCAAGTGAATGACAATGGCCCCTGCTCTGAAGATACATATGCTGAGAAATTACTTTCATCCGATTCTCCTGATATATGTAATATATTTGGAGAGCCAGATGTGCTTCCTCGAGTTGGAGATGAGTATCAGGTTGAAGTTCCATCTCTAGTAACAGAATCTGATACTTTCTGTCTCACAAGGAACCTAACTGATGTAAATAGTTTGCCTAGTGTTTCCCACGATTTTCTAATGGGACTGCCCTTATCCATTATGTGGATCGACATGGGCAAAGA